GGGGGGCGGGGGGGGGGGGGGGCGGGGGGGGGGGGGCGGCTGGGAGAGGCCCACGGGGGGAAAAGGAGACTCATGTAATACTTCAAACAATAAAGAATTTAAATTAAAAAAAAAGAAAGAAAGATGTCTCTTAATGTGGAGGCAGAGACACTCACACGATGTGGGCCAAGTTGAGCGGCTTCTCCGGCTGGTCGGGGAACATGGGGTGCAAAGGCTCACGGCTGGAAGCACAGCTCAGGGACTTGCTTAACGCGTTTGTTAGCTTCTTAGCTGGTGATTTCTGGAAAGAAGAAGAAAGATAAAGGTGAGGACAACTAACATTTATGTAACATTTTGTCAGATGATTTGCTTTCACAGATAATCATTCATTCATTCACTCAGTCAAGCAATCCTCTTTGAGTACCTACTCTAAGTCGGGAGTCTGCTCCGTGGTAAATAAGCCAGCCAGGCACCCGGCTCCCACTGCTTAGTGACACATGGGGTGCTCAGCAGGCCCAGGACCCTGAGCGGGGCCTTTGTGGACAGCAGGAGTCCGTCTGACAGAAACTCAGGGGCTGGGAAGGTGATTCCAGATGGAGGAAGAAGAGGCGAGCAGGAGGCCGATCATTAAAGTCCCACAGGTCACTTAGGACTGTGGCCTTTATCTCCAATGCAGGGGGGACAGTGAAGTGTTTAAATCACGGAGGCAGCAGCATCGGACCGGGTTCTAGAAGGATTGCTCCCACCTCAGAAGGAAGGAGGGAGATGAGCAAGAGGCTTTGCAGGAATCCAGGGGCAAGGTGTTCCAGGCGTGGTAGGACACACCTAACTAAAGGCAAGAGTGGAACTTCAATCTGAGTCTTTTTTATTTCTAATATACTTCTTTTATTGATTTCAGAGAGGAAGGGGGAGGGAGAGAGAGAGAGAAACATCAATGATGAGAGGGTAATTGATTGGCTGTCTCCTGTACGCCCCACAATGGGGATCAAGCCCTCAACCTGGGCATGTGCCCTGACCAGGAATCGAACCATGACCTCCTAGTTCATAGGTCAATGGTCAACCACTGAGCCATGCCGGCTGGGCCAATCTGAGTCTTGAGAATTTAAAATTCATGTTCTTTTCAGAGCATCATGCTACCTCTTTTTCATTTAGATTGGTGGGATGTTTACTTTAAAATTCCACAGCCAAAATTATAAAAAATAACTTACCACATATAATTTACTCCTTTCCATGAGTAACCATTTATAATTTTCCTCACTTTATTTTACACATAGAGCCCAAAAGTGGTAATATGTGGCGTTTATCCTCATTCTTTAATAGGAGCACTGCTCAAGAAGTTCCACTTTGGTTTTTGCTAGGAGATGTAATTCTTAGAACACTTACATAACTAATGCAATAAAGCTCTTCACTGCATAAATATCGGGGCCCCTTCATCTTCTTGAGGAGTCTAATCTGGCTTTAGTAGAGACACTGCCCTCCTAAATAATTTTAGAATCTTCAATCCCTGAGAAAAAGGCTCATCTGATTTTAGCATTTACATAAAAGAACAATTAAAAATGATTAGCCTTCAAACACCAACCCTCCAGAATTTGGGATAGAATAAATTTGAAAATTGGTACTATGTTGACAATAAGAAAACAGAAAGTGCTTTCTTCTATGTTCTATAATCTATACTAAAATGTGTCTCACCATCGGTGTCAGTATATCTATCCTCAGCATATGATGTGACCGACAGTGACAGCGGCCTGGGAGCTGGCATGAAGCCTCAGTATGTGATGTCTCAGTGAAGAACTGTCCCTTGAACTCAGAGTCTGACAGGTGCTAAGCAATGGACACTGACCATGAGTTCCCAATAATCATGCCTGGAAAGAACACTCCGACTTAAAACGCATATTCTGAAGATTTTCCTTTTTTTAAAAAAGCAAGTTACTCTTTAAGTAAAGACTATACGTTGAATTGAAACACATACAAATATGGAAAAAAAAACTCATAAAAAGTTTGCATTTTCCTGTGGGAGAACTACTTCAAGAGGAGTGGGCAGGGCTGATGGTATGCCCGTGCCATGAAGCACAAGAACACCACCATTTGAGCAGCAAGTTCACGGAGGCAAGTTCCTCCCATAGACCCAGTGCCATGTGCCCCTGAGAAGACACCCAGCACAGGGACAGCCGCTCCCGGGCCGCCTTCAGCAGGTCGCTCACCTGCACTATTCACGAAAGATGATTTGCTAATGTAGCCACAGTACCCCCTCTTCCCCAAAGTAAGATGGAACAGCATCATTAAGCCCACACGCTCACATGTCTTTCCTCTATTTTCCAGTTGTGCACTTAAGAGAACTCCAGAATCTAAGAAAGAAGAAAGTAGCAACCATTTTTAAGCAATTCCCACAAAACACAAAAACTGGCAAACCAAAACAAAGACCCATCAAAGGTTGAAAAGAACCTTAATTTACTGTGAAATGATTATGTTCCAGAAGGCGCTTGCTGTTTGGTTGTTAGCTAAATCAGTACCGAGTGATCTATATTTCAAGAAGTAACGTAATTTGAGTCTCCCTATAGTTTAAGTCACAGGAAGCTACACTGGGCTCAGATACACTATGAGAGAGATCCCAGTAAGATGTGGTGGGTTTGGAGGGAAGGGGAAGAAGGAATGTTGACTACAGGGTAAGTGTACCCCTGAATTCTGTCACCCTCTTTGACATTCCCTAGCATTCTGGGTCGCACGCACACATCCAACTTTAAGCACTGCCTGGCCCTTGCCTTACCCATGACGTGTACTCTTTCATTTGGTGCTGGTTGCTATGGGAACCCCCAGCATGTCCCCTCCAGAAGCAGTCCTGGCAGAGCTGGTAATTATGACACTGTTGGCATCGGTAGCGGAATCCCATCATGCTCTCGCTGTGGCAGAAGGAACACTCCACCGGGTGGAAGACTGAGGAGGCAGCAAATGAAGAAAAAATAAGAAAACCAAAGTGCGAGCCAGGATAAGGACAAACACAGGCTGACGGGGATGGCGTTTTTCTGCCGTGTGCCCTGATGCCAGATGACAGTCGGTTTGGGCTGAGAGAAGTATTGTTTATTCCAGGCATCTCACTGCCCTTTTCAGGCGTGTGTGTGGAGGTGGAAGAAATGAAATGAGGTGGAGGATAGGTGTTCTTTTAACAAGTTTCTGTAATGCCACTTGCTCTTTCTACTCCCATCTCTTACACTACAAGAATATAAATTACCCAAAATGGCCCGTTTCCCCCCCAAACTGCTCTCTGTCTCCAGGAGGCCAGCACAGTCACTGGGAGACTCAGCACCATGGATGAACACGGCTGACCATCCAGTGGGGAGAGAGCAAAAAGGGAGACGTGAGAAAGGAGAGGGAGGGAAAAGAAAGAAAAATGGAGGGAGAGCAGGAAAACTAGATGAGAGAATTGAGTTATTTTTTAAAAATGAAGCAGCTAATGGGCTTATTTAATGAGTGACATTGCCTCCATCTAACAAACAGATTTGTTTTCTTTCCTAAGAGGCAGATGGGCAGGGCCCAAGGAGACAAGTAAATGATCTAGATACAGTTCTAATCAGACAGCTCAGGAGACACAACTGTCTTTGGCAGAAATTGGAATCATAAAGCAGGTAAGGTAAAATAGTTGACATTGGAAGCTAACAAATGATCAAATCCAAGTAACTGTCTCTACGCTATGAGCTAAAGATTGAAAACAACAACAATTCTTGCCTTTGGTCACATTATTCTCTGGCTAACCAGCCAGGGAAAAGAATGTACGTGAAAATAAACGAAGATAAAAAGCCAACTGTAACCACAAAGGCATAACCAGCTCTGGAGGTACTGCCTTCTGACTAAGCATTGGTCCTCCCTTTTCTGGCTCCTGGGAAAGGCAGGGTGAGCCCTGGATTTAGAGACAACTGCTCGGGGACAGGCCTGCGAAACCCATTTCCTGCAACAGGAAGTACTGAGCTAGAGGGTGAAATTACAGCCTCGTGACGGAAGGTGACTAGCCCTGAACTGTGACCAGTACCATGATCTCAGGTTGCATGATCCGACCTTGATTGCTCTTCGCTTCTGCGGATGAGTAAGAAACATATAAAAATAAATCTATGCTTGGCAGTGATTACAGAGCACCGACTTAATTCATTTTTAAAATCTTCTCCATGAGCAAAACAGGATACATTTATTACTTTTAACTGAGAGAGATAATAAGGGCAGATGCTAGATGTTTTGAATGGGAACATAAACTTAAGCTAACTTTACCTCCAATGTATATTAAAGAAATGTGTAGGAGTTAAGATTCTAGTAAGAGATATGGGATAAATGATTTTCTATTTAAGTCTGGAGAAATCTCAGACTTAAATTGAATAATAAATAAGAACATCTAAAGGTTAGAGAAGGAGGCACTGAATTGCTCCACGTTTAAATTTCTTTAAATCTCGTTCTGAACTGTGGTTTCCATTTAAGCTTGGGTGTATCAATATTTACTCCTTTTACCCTAGAAATACTTGCCCTTGTAAAAAAGCACATTTCAAAAGTTTGCATGGCTTTTGTCTTTTACATAACTACAACCACTGAAAGCTTCTAATTCGGAGCACATGACAAAAGATGAGTAAGTTTCTCTCATGCATTTTTTCCCTTTCTCCTCCACCTGTTCCTGGCCCAGTGCCTAGGAAGAAATCGTCAATGCCAAGGTAAACCAACATTGGGAATCCAGACCTAAAACAAATACTAGAAACGATCACATTCCTTATTGAGATTCCTCTAATGTATCAAGTCTTTAAGCCACATCTGACCTGTAACTGAGGGGTACACAGTAAGATGGAATAAGCTTTTAGCACTGACTGTCTTAACTTGGCCGTGCACCCAGAGGCCTTGTTAAAGATCAGGGAGACTGGTTAGTTGCATCCTAAACAAAGCTCGGAACAACAAAATCGATCTCCCTAAAACAATGACCTTGGCTTAATAACCATAGAGTTGACCGGCTAATTTCCATGATTAAAAAGCCTGCCTGCGCTCAGCAGTGACTACTCACCATTCTCTACATTCGCCAGTCGATGCAGAAGGGGCAGCCAGACCAGGCACTGCGGGGGAGGATCTGACATGAGCGTGTCCAAGAAACCGTTTAACGTGACCTTTTTCTGCATAAAAAACAAAACATAATAAAAAAAACCCACACCAATCCGTGGTCGTTTAGAACAGAGAGTACGCTTAATTTAGCTGCTCTGCAGCTATCATTTGAGATGGAACAGGACGTTCAATGAGCCTCTAATGTATGAAGAAACAGAATTTGAAACTAAGTTCGGCAGAATTTAAAACACGGAGTGTGTTTTACACTTATGCACACGACTGAATTATCTCCACTGAGGCCGAGTCAAGATGCTCACATAGAGAAAATTCTGGAAGCATCACTTTCCCATGGGAGGGACAGTATGAAAATGACGCGGAAAGATGGACTGACATTTCCATGAAGTGTTACCCAGCTGTGGGTCATGGCAGCTGCCACAGTTCCCACACCAGTCTCCTGCATTTGTAGAATGACTTCTCTTGTAGCAACCTCAGGTGAAACCTCACTCAGAGCCCTAAATGTCCCATGTCCTGGAAGATTTAGGTAGCCGCGTGTCTCATATTTTGGGACTCCCACAGTGCGAGGCGGCATGGGCCATACTTTTTCGTCTTCTTTGACAAACATTGGTGAAACTTGGTGGTGTGTCAGACTTGTGTTTCATGTGAGGCTGAGGGACATTTCAGCCCTTTTGATCGGGCAGTGAGAATGACCCGGAGACTATAGGGTTGTTGTAGGATTAAATTCGACAATGCGAGTAAACAGCTCAGCCTGGCGCCTGGCTCGTGGTCAGTAGACATCGCCTACTATTATTATCGAGGTGTGTGACGTTTAGTGACTGACTCACAGGACATTCGTCAGAGGCTGGAAGATATGCTACGGGTTATCGCGTATCTGAGAACTGCCTGGAGTGACACACAGGAGGAGAGCAGCTGCTGTTCAGAAGCTGCTTCCTCACACACGCTCTTTCCTACCTGCTGAGAGAAGCAGGACCTGGCTGACTGTTCCGTGTAACCGAATGAGGGCCCTTCAAACACGGCTGTGGGCAGTTTGAGGACTTCCCGCAGGAACTGATCATAGCGTCCATAAACCATCACCCCACTGGAGTCAGAAATCATTGAGAAAATATCTGATGGGAGAAAAAGGAAAGATATTTATAATTCACGTAAACATTCCCCACTGTTTCAGTTCAATGTATCTGTTTCAAACAACACAAATGTGGCAGAATAAATCATGTCTATGAAAGAATCATGGAAAAGCTATTTTTTATGCTGAAATATTTCTGGCACGGTGTTTTCTTTGGAGTCTCTTTGTAGATGATTCTGGCACATAGCCTTAACTAGTAATTGGGATAAGATTAGCATATTTTGATAAGACAGAGCATATAACATTGTTATATTGAGGTCAATTATGAACTCATATATAACCCAAGGCAGCAAATTTTGTATATGTGAGAAATATGCTGATCTTGTTTTTTTCAATGTAACTTTATTTTAACTTCTTTTTGTTAATCCTCACTTGAGGATATTTTTCCATTTATTTTTAGAGAGAGTGGAGGGGGGGAAGAGAGAGAAAGAGAGAGAGAGAGAGAGAGAGAGAGAGAGAGAAACATCGAAGTGAGAGAGACACATCTATTGGTTGCCTCCCAATACACGCCCCAACCAGGTCCAGGTACTTGCCCTTGACCAGAATCAAACCTGGGACCCTTCACACACGCCCCCATCAGGGCCAGGTACCTGGGACCCTTCAGTCATTGGATCAATGCTCTATCCACTGAGCCAAACCAGCCAGGGCTATGCTGACCTTGTTTGAAACACACAATGAAAATTGTGTTATAGCACTGGTGTGTGTGTGTGTGTGTCTAGCTAGAAAGCTATACATATCTATATTATCACTAAAAAGTTTGGGTTTTGGTTTAAGATATTGAAAAATGAAAGACACAAGGGGGATAAGGAGGTAACGAAAACACTTGATTAACTCTCCACAGGAGCAGAAAACTTCCTATAAATCATATGTTCTGGGTGGAGGCATTTGATTCACAGGGAAGGGTCTTTGAACTCACGCAGTCAAGAGGCAGCCTGGCCTTGTGGTGATCAGTGAGGTGGAGCCAGGTTCTGAGATGACTCTCAGCAGAGCCTACGGCTTCACTGAACCTCTGTTCTTCAGTGTCTGCCACTGTGTGCACTTAATGCATATTAACAGCATAACTTCCCAAAGAGCTTTATAATTCCTCTGTGGAAATGCCACCACTGGAACGAAAGGGTGTGCTATCATATAGTTTGCCCCCATGCTGGAGTGTAATGAGGCCAGCCCAGCTGCTGGGGTAAACTACTGGCAATCCAGTGTGCTACCTCTCTTCATTTTGGGCTTAATTTTTCAAGGTCGAAATGTAATCTGGAGACATTACTTTATACCGCAGTCAGATGCTAACCACATTACAGACTTTTATTGAATTATGTGATAAAGATGTGAATTGGCTCTCATTTTCTTTAAATACTCCAGTTTTAAAGGATTTCTACTGTGTTTCAAATAGTTTATCAACCATGAGGCTATAGAAATTCTACTTGAGCAACAAAATTAATGTTCTCATCCACCTTCACAATGTTGTTTACCTAATGAATTTTATCTCTTGTGTTTCATTATAATTAGTCAAAAATAAAAAGGTTGCCAAAGGCAGAACTACAACTCTTTATGTAATTCCAAATATAGAAACTCGAGAATTCCAATGAAAGGGGAGGGGGGTGGAGGTAGAAGAAACCTAGGAAAACCAATGGACTTGTGTATTAGAGCTGCCGTTTTGTTTGTTTTTAGGCAGGTTGGTTTGAGCATACTTGGGCCATCCTGACGACCTTCTAGGCTTGGCTGGTCTAGGCCAGAGCACATTTTGAGAAGTAGACGAGGCCTTTCAAATCTTCCAGGAAAGAATTTAGACAATGTCTCTAACTAGAGCGAAAGCAGGAGGAGTAGCAACAGTGAACTTTCACAGACTTGAAGCTAATATGAGCCTCATTGATGTTGATGAAGTTTGTTAAGCAACAGCCAAACTAGGGCTCGGTCACTGGGATGAAAGGGAAGTGACTGTTAATGCCACTCAGGTTTTTAAAAATAAACGAGGGGACTCTGAAGAAGCTATCAAAGTAAGTATTTGTACCTTAGTTCTAGGCTCTCTGTCTTACATATATACATATACATATGTAATATGCTTATAGTATGTAATACATATGTATGTATACCAAATAGAGGGCCATTTCAAAGATTAAATTAGTTAACAGGTGAAAGCACAGAGATGTAAAGCGCTCACATAGTGCGTGGTACCTCGTACACAGGCTCTTTTTATTATTAAATTTGAATCACATTTTTTCTGTCTTTACTTCATATAGTTGCCTCCCTATTGGAATTGTTCTGCAAGGTCCCAAATAATACTCTAACCACCTTTGTTTTTCCTATAGCGCCATACAATGATAGATGCTGTAGAAGAATTTATATTTGTTGATTTACGCAACTAAATTTAACTTAGCTCGTACTAAATGTAGGTAATTGTGCTCAGCAGTGAATATACAGAAAAATAAGGAGGTCCTCGTCTTGCCCTCTGGGAGGTCCAAGTCTGTTGAGGATGACAGCAACATGTGGACATCATGTATCATATGGCAACATACATTATAGCATGGTGGTGTGAAGGTGGGAGTGGTAGGGTGTACAGGAGCTCAGAGAGGGGCTCCCAGAGGCAGCAGTGGACCAGGGAGGGTTTCCTCACAGAGGTGATTGCTCGGCCTGCGTCAAGGACAATCAGGGTTAGCCAGGCTTAGGAAGCTGGGTCAGGACGTGCGGAGGCATATGCGCAAGCACAATGCACTCGCCAATCTGCATGTAGCTCAGTGTGTCAGGAGCCACAAGGCGCCTGGCAGGAGGGGAGGTGGATAGGGAGAGCTTCCCAAGCTCCACAAAGGAGTGTAGATTGTGTCCAGAAGATGCCGGGGAGGCACTGAAGACTTTAAGGCAGGCCAGTGAGTTAGAAACACTACCTTGGGGACAGGCGTGGGGGCAGAACAACCAGTTCAGTAATAGAAGCTCAACAAGCACACAGTGCTTGGTGCTTGCCGTAATACTGGCCTTTTAAAGAAAACAAAACAAGCCTCCCAGAGGCTCTAGGAGAGCACTTGGCATCCCAGGCCCACAGCATTGAGTTCAGAATTCCTTAATATACATATGTAATATGCTTATAGTATGTAATACATGTGTACCAAATAGAGGGCCATTTCAAAGATTAAATTAGTTAACAGGTGAAAGCACAGAGATGTAAAGCACTCACATAGTGTGTGGCACCTTGTACACAGGAAATGGTAGCTATTTTTATTATTAAATTTGAATCACATTTTTTCTGTCTTTACTTCATATAGTTGCCTCCCTATTGGAATTGTTCTGCAAGGTCCCAAATAATACTCTAACCACCTTTGTTTTTCCTATAGCGCCATACAATGATAGATGCTGTAGAAGAATTTATATTTGTTGATTTACGCAACTAAATTTAACTTAGCTCGTACTAAATGTAGGTAATTGTGCTCAGCAGTGAATATACAGAAAAATAAGGAGGTCCTAGTCTTGCCCTCTGGGAGGTCCAAGTCTGTAGAGGATGACAGCAACATGTGTATATCATGCATCACATGGCAGCATACATTATAGCATGGTGGTGTGAAGGTGGGAGTAGTAGGGTGTATAGGAGCTCAGAGAGGGGCTCCCAGAGGCAGCAGTGGGCCAGGGAGGGTTTCCTCACAGAGGTGAGTGCTCGGCCGGCGTCAAGGACAATCAGGGTTAGCCAGGCTTAGGAAGCTGGGTCAGGACGTGCGGAGGCATATGCGCAAGCACAATGCACTCGCCAATCTGCATGTAGCTCACTGTGTCAGGAGCCACACGGCGCATGTAGGAGGGGAAGCGGATAGGGAGAGCTTCCAAAGTTCCACAAAGGAGTGTAGATTGTGTCCAGAAGATGCCGGGGAGGCACTGAAGACTTTAAGGCAGGCCAGTGAGTTAGAAATACTGCCTTGGGGAGGACAGGCTTGGCAGAACAACCAGTTCAGTAATAGAAGCTCAACAAGCACACAGTGCTTGGTGCTTGACGTAATACTGGCCTTTTAAAGAAGAAAACACAAGCCTCCCAGAGGCTCTAGGAGAGCACTTGGCATCCCAGGCCCACGGCATTGAGTTCAGAATTCCTTAAGGTCCTCAGGACTACCCAGGAGCCCCGAGCAGAAATATAAACAAGTGCTCCATCTCAATAAAACAGCAGGCCACAGAAACAAACAACAGAACAACAGGCTCTAATCACAGCAAGAACAACTTGACAGGAGGACTATATCAGGTCAGTTTGGTTAGGGTGCTGAGCCCGATGACTGCAGGGGGTGCGCGCGCACTCTCGGTTGCCTGCAGGTGCACAGTGAACACCCCGCACGTTGACTGGCTCCTGGTGGCCCTGAGCATTGGAAATTGTGCTGCAACCTGGGTTTGTTGTCCCTTCTGATGCATTTAAAAGCAGTTTTCAAAACTCAGCTTTACATTGTCTGTGGTTTTTCTACTTGTTTTGCTTTTTACAATTTCTAATTTATTTGTAGCCAATTACGCCCGCCACGCCCAGTTGTCCCCGAGGAGCCACCGGGGAGAGCTGAGTGGAAACACGGAAACCACCAGGGTCCTTGATGGTACAGGATCAACCTGGTTGATGAAGGGCTGTGAGTTCCGAACTGCGGAAAACGATTCTCTCCAGTTTTCCTCAAACTTATTTTAACATGAGACCCTTTCATCCAGGGGCCTGTTGGCATGACACTGAGTAAGTATTTGGAAATGTTTCTTTAGTCTGAAAAACACACCCATTTGTCTAATGTCCACAGGGTAACTCAATAAGCAGTCACACAGGTGGGCTTACAACCTGGGCCTCCTAGTTCCCATCACAGCGTTCTCTTACTCAACATTGTGACGTAAACTCATGATATTTAGGCTAAGGGAGAGGGTTAAATGAAAATTTTTCTTTTAAATGGCAGCATGTCCATCATTTTAAATGGGCTATATATGAAAATTCTTGCCCCCACACCTCCACCCTAGGGCCACTGAATCAGAAATTCTGGGAGTGGGATCCGAAATCCATGTTTTAAAAAGCATTCCAGGTGATTCTATACATACCATGGGTATAGGGAAAATAGTCAGGCTTCACATCTGGTGCCATTTTACTTTTAAAGTATGTGATTTACTTTAACTCTCTGAGTCTCAGCTTCTTTACCTACAACAAATCAACCAACCAAAACACTCCCACTGTTCTGTCCATTTAAAACTCGACATATTAGTGACAAAGGTACATAAAAGCCCCATAATCACTCACTGTACTGTGGCTATCATGCTTTGATTGGCGTCCAGTTAATTCTCAGTCTACAGTGTCTCTACGCAATTACCGTGCCCCCTACCCTGGCAATGTCTACTCCGGCACGGTTGGAGTTTCTAGCGATTTGAACAGCACTGCCTGAGAATGAAGAAACATACCGGGAGCTTTGGCTTTGGATGACCTAAAAAAGGAAGGCGGTCCTTCAAGTCCTTATAATGATGGACTTGTCTGTAGGGCAGTACAGTACAATGAACTTGAAAGAAAATATATCTTACTATAATATCACAAAGTCTAGTTGGTAACACTCAACAAGTTATCAATAATAATAATCTGTAAGTAGAAGGAAAACATTCCTTTCATTAACACTTACCTAATATGAAAATATTTCTATGACAAAATCCAACCATCAGTGAAGATCAATAAAGATCATATTTCAGCCTGGCCAGTGTGGCTCAGTGGTTGAGCATCGACCTATGAACCAGGAGGTCACTGTTCGATTCCATGGTCAGGGCACATGTCCGGATTGCGGGTTCAAGCCCCAGGGTGGGTCATGCAGGAGGCAGCTGATCAATGATTCTCTCTCATCGCTGATGTTTCTCTCTATCTCTCCCTCTCCCTTCCTCTCTGAAATTAATAAAAATATAATTTAAAAAAGATCATATTTCAAACAACTGTCATAGCATGAGGAAAGTCGCAGGTGAGCAGGGGGACATGGCAGGACTGAGGAAGAGGGAAATGTGGTGTGGAGGTGAGATAAGTGAGGAGAAACATGAAGAGCAACTTACATCTTAATTTGTCCATGATCTTCCCTCCACACAATGTGGCTAAAGCCATTTTGACAGCAAATACTGAAATTTTGCCATGGCCTTCCCTGTTTCATGATAATAGAAAAGAAAAAAAAAGATGTCATTTGGAGAACTTCCAGTAACAAGGTTTGACATTTTCTGTTCTGTAGAACTCACAGGACAGCTGATGCATTATGTGAACAATCCATTTAGCAAAGGTTGTGAATACAAGTCAACACACATTTCCAAACAACTGTCCAGTTTCCTTCTTTCAAGAGCCAGCAGACTCTTCAAGTTATTCTTTGTAGATGGCAACTTGCTCAAAGCATAGACTGGCAGCCAGAGGGATATGTATCATTTAAATATGGGTTAAAGTCACAGAACATGGGTTTCATAAAATAGTTTTATTAATGACAATTCTATCATTTCTACAATTTATTTAAACACTGCTTCTGATTTTTCTGGTCAGTGAATTCCTGACTTTTGTTAGAGTAACTATGAGGACTTTTTAATCACACATGTTTTTTTCCCCAATGATCATTTCTTTCCCACAAGCCAACTGTACTTAGGTTGATCCACCTACTTTTCAAAGGGAGCTGGTATTTTAAAGGGACAAAAGTAAAAGATCTTTTTGACTGGTTCTCCTTCTACCTAAATGACACCAGAGCTGCCAAATCTTCATTGATTTATGAAGCATAACTAACTTGCCCTTCACAAAGTGTGATACAAAGGGCATACTGTAAGAAGTGTAATATTCCAGGTAATGACTTTCTAGCTGGAATAAACTCTTTATTCTTATGTCCTTAGAATCAGAAAGTGTATCATACAGAATTAGTAATTCACTATTTTGATAGTTGTTACTCTTAAGAGTGATCAAGAGTTATTTAAAATAATAATGGGGCTGAAAGGTAAGTCAAGTCTGTATTGACAAGGGAATAGTATATAGGATGAATCATTTATATGAATAAGATTCCTATAGCTGACATATTAGGAAAGTAAGATGTAATAAATAGTTGTGTCTTTGTTCCTTACTAGACTTCAGAGTGAGATCATTTGTTGTTCATCGTTGTTGTTGTCAGTCTTAGCAGAGTGCCTGAAAAACATCTAGCCAGAATGCTAAAGGCCTTTGACAAGATTCCATAACTAAGGCTACTCTTTACTGTCATCTTGGGATCAGGGTCCCTACTTTTGTGTTAAGAAAGAATTGGCATTAAATAAAGAAGCGAGCAGCAGAGAGAAGCTGGCTCCATCCCCAGTGAAGAAATGTAGGAACTACTCTCATTAGAAATGGCCCTCCATCGGGGCCGTTTGACTCGGGAACAGTCAGTGAGACCCATCCATGGCCAGGAAGTGGAAAGTCAAGCTCAGGAGGATGGCTAACAGGAAGCTTTCCGGAGTCGTGTGCACACGGGCAGGAAAGCAGCCTATTGTTCCAAAGCGAGTCAGCACGTGCCAAGCCTCTAGGAGTGAAGCAGTAAAGCCCAACATATGGGGTGTTGGCTGTCGGCCACCACTTGGGAAGCAGTCCTGCCAGAGTGTACGGCGGAGGAAAACCATAGATTGTCCCTAAGGCTGTGGGCCAGGCCGCCTCCGAATGGGCGAGCCCAGGGGAGCACCGGAGAACGTCTATCTCTTCTCTCGCTTTTATGAAACGCACGGCGGCATGCCTGCACTTCACGTGCAGTTCTATGGCCACCCCGAGAAACACGTCACAGAGCCGATGTGCCTGAGGTTCTGTGCTTCACTGGGAATCAGTGATCAATGACAGGACCACATAGCTTTTCTTTGTAAAGTCAAGCTTTAGTGCAGCTGACGTTTTAATAGCATAAAAGATACAGTGCAAGCTTAAAACAGATATTTACTATTAGCCTGTCATTTTTTATTAAAAAAATAAGTTTATTTTCAATGTAAAAATGTTATTTATTTTAATATTTTCTTTTTCAATGTAGAGTGAGAACACAATGGATAAAACATACTTTACTCTTGTAATAGCATAAAAGATACAGTGGAATCTTAAAACAGATATTTACTATTAGCCTGCCATTTTTTATTAAAAGAATAATTTTATTTTGAATGTAAAAATTTTACTTATTTTAATATTTTCTTTTTCAATGTAGAAAACAATGGATAAAGCATACTTTACTCTCTCCACCCCCCGCCATCCCCACTATTTGTCTTTTTGGGTCACTATTTGTCTTTTTGGCATAATGGAATATATCCCACTTATAAGCCAATTACACTGAAGGTTTTGCTGATGCAAACTTTACTTTCCTGTTCTAGCTTGATGTCAAAAAACACCCAATTATATGGTTATATTGGTATTTAAGTAATAACTAAAAGGGTATTTAAAAGAACTAGCAAATTAGCAAAGGTACAAACTGGAATTGCTTCATAAATTAATGTTTCCTTTTTTTTTTAAATTTCCCTTTATAATTTGTTTTCTTACTTTGAATTTTTTCAAAATTTTCCAAGGGGCAATTGATTGACGATGGAAACAAGAAAAGCACGCCCCCTTGGGTTACTATATGGAGATTTGCAGCGTGTCTGTCTTAAAAACATTAGACTCATCCTAATAAAAAGTGAGTCATTATGCTCAGATTCCATGAGTTTACAGAGAAAAGCCGATTTCTTTGAACTAAGAACATATTACCTTCAGGGGAAAGTTGTGTGGGCGGGAAAATCTGCTTCGACAAGAAGGAAAAACAACCAATAGGTAAGGAAAGGACTGGGATGCCGGGCCAGGTTCAAAACAGAATGTACATTTTCTCCAAACGGCTAAGAGAGGTTCTCCAAGCAGAAGTTAAAGAATCCCATGACAAATTTCACGTCCCTGAAGGTGGGATTTGGAATCTGACTGAGTCTTTTGTGAACAGGCTGGGGGAATTATTTCTCTATCTAGGAGTACTACAATCAGAAGCTCGTCTTCTGCCAATCGTTTTACAAAAACATTTGGTAAGCATTTTTGATACGCAAAGGCACAACACTCAACCTGTGCCATCACTTCCGCCTCCGGCTTCTTTCCTGGGATGACTGGTTGATATGCATCACTCACTTAGTGACTCAATAGATATGTAGTGACAATGCTTAAGAGGCTGGGGATATTTACTCACGCCATCACTTCCGCCTCCGGCTTCTCTACCTGGGATGGCTGGTTGATATGCATCTCTCACTTAGTGACTCAATAGATACGTAGTGACAATGCTTAAGAGGCTGGGGATATTTACTCACAGCCTATTGGAGAGAAAGGTGAAAACCAGTTAGTTTTCATACCACACATTCTCACAAAGTGCAGGGAGCTCATCCTATTCATCTCAAATCCCCAGTAATATCCTAGTACCTGGCACATAGCAAGCTCTTTATTTTCCTTTCCTTTTCTTTTTGAACATTTTCAGTAGATACAACAGGGTGAAGAAAAGGGTGGGGGGAAGGGAGAGAAAGATTTTCTAAAGGCCTTTGACAAGATTCCATAACTAAGGCTACTCTTTACTGTCATCTTGGGATCAGGGTCCCTACTTTTGTGTTAAGAAAGAATTGGCATTAAATAAAGAAGCGAGCAGCAGAGAGAAGCTGGCTCCATCCCCAGTGAAGAAATGTAGGAACTACTCTCATTAGAAATGGCCCTCCATCGGGGCCGTTTGACTCGGGAACAGTCAGTGAGACCCATCCATGGCCAGGAAGTGGAAAGTCAAGCTCAGGAGGATGGCTAACAGGAAGCTTTCCGGAGTCGTGTGCACACGGGCAGGAAAGCAGCCTATTGTTCCAAAGCGAGTCAGCACGTGCCAAGCCTCTAGGAGTGAAGCAGTAAAGCCCAACATATGGGGTGTTGGCTGTCGGCCACCACTTGGGAAGCAGCCCTGCCAGAGTGTACGGAGGAGGAAAACCATAGATTGTCCCTAAGGCTGCGGGCCAGGCCGCCTCCGAATGGGCGAGCCCAGGAGAGCACCGGAGAACGTCTATCTCTTCTCTCGCTTTTATGAAACACCACGGCAGCATGCCTGCACTTCACGTGCAGTTCTATGGCCACCCCGAGAAACACGTCACAGAGCCGATGTGCCTGAGGTTCTGTGCTTCACTGGGAATCAGTGATCAATGACAGGACCACATAGCTTTTCTTTGTAAAGTCAAGCTTTAGTGCAGCTGACGTTTTAATAGCATAAAAGATACAGTGCAAGCTTAAAACAGATATTTACTATTAGCCTGTCATTTTTTATTAAAAAAATAAGTTTATTTTCAATGTAAAAATGTTATTTATTTTAATATTTTCTTTTTCAATGTAGAGTGAGAACACAATGGATAAAACATACTTTACTCTTTCGGGTTACTATATGGAGATTTGCAGCGTGTCTGTCTTAAAAACATTAGACTCATCCTAATAAAAAGTGAGTCATTATGCTCAGATTCCATGAGTTTACAGAGAAAAGCCGATTTCTTTGAACTAAGAACATATTACCTTCAGGGGAAAGTTGTGTGGGCGGGAAAATCTGCTTCAACAAGAAGGAAAAACAACCAATAGGTAAGGAAAGGACTGGGATGCCGGGCCAGGTTCAAAACAGAATGTACATTTTCTCCAAACGGCTAAGAGAGGTTCTCCAAGCAGAAGTTAAAGAATCCCATGACAAATTTCACGTCCCTGAAGGTGGGATTTGGAATCTGACTGAGTCTTTTGTGAACAGGCTGGGGGAATTATTTCTCTATCTAGGAGTACTACAATCAGAAGCTCGTCTTCTGCCAATCGTTTTACAAAAACATTTGGTAAGCATTTTTGATACGCAAAGGCACAACACTCAACCTGCGCCATCACTTCCGCCTCCGGCTTCTCTACCTGGGATGGCTGGTTGATATGCATCTCTCACTTAGTGACTCAATAGATACGTAGTGACAATGCTTAAGAGGCTGGGGATATTTACTCACAGCCTATTGGAGAGAAAGGTGAAAACCAGTTAGTTTTCATACCACACATTCTCACAAAGTGCAGGGAGCTCATCCTATTCATCTCAAATCCCCAGTAATATCCTAGTACCTGGCACATAGCAAGCTCTTTATATGTATACATGCTTTCTGACTTACCACTTAAGTTTTATATTGAGAAATTCTAAGTGTTTGAGTAAAATTGCAAACATTGACTTTAATGGCCCTTAATATTAGATTGCACAGTCATGTGATCCCTTGAATTTAGAAGTGATCACATACATAATTTGGGCTAGATCACATACGTAACTCTTGTTTTGGGGGTAGTGAAGCTAACATGTGGACAGATAGAAACCCCTCATTTGGCCCTGGCATCCAGAGGTTAGCAAACTATCTGGGAAGAGAAGCTCTCATAGCACTGGGCCAGGTGAGTTTGCCAGAAGTTTCTCCAGAATGGAAGGGGCCAATACTGTCGACATTGTCTCCCTTACCCCCATGAAATCCCATCTGCTACTCATCCAAAGTATAATCAGAAAGAGGAGTGGCATTGGATGTTCAATTTATCTACAGCTGTGAAAACTCTTCAGAAAGTGATTCCATTTTTAGCAACATAAGTATTTTCTTCCAGAACAAAATTTTAGTGACCAGATGAGAAAATTCTATGGATATCTCGAATTGAAGATGTGCATAGAAAAGCCAAGTAAGCAAAATTTTAAATATTTAGTTCTAGCCATATGGGTAATGAAGAAAAAAAACAAAAACATTTGGTTTCATATGACTCTTCTCTTTTTCCTTTGCCTCAAAAGTGAACAACATGTTTTGTTTTCGCACAGAGAAATGGCCATGTTCTTTGTAGCACGTCTTGCATTAAACATCAGAATAATTTTTAAAACTCAAAAGGCAGAAGGATTTTGGCAGAATTCCAGGATTATTTCACATCCATCCATCTTAATAGTGTTGTGGTTCTTTTCATCGTGTTGGGGGCTGGGGGTGGGGTCAGCAGTGGGAATGGATGTTCAAATGGCTCAGCAAGGTGCCATATGTCAAACAGAGAGGAAAAGACCAGGATTTTGTATTGTGTATTCTCTATGAGAGAATATTGTACAATGGATCCGAGTTCTGGATGGCAGTCATAAAAATGACTCTAAATCTACAATGTGTAACTTGTTAAGTCCAAATATATCTTTCACACATACTCTGTCAAATATGTCTAAATACCACACACTGAAAAGGCTAGAAATGTGAGGGTAATAATAATACCCTGTAATAAGCAGGGAAAGCCTGGGGAAAAAGTCCATTAATTCTCATTTAAAAAATGAAACAGAAAGCATGAATAGAAATGAACTTAAACTGCTTCCTGAAACAAAATGATTTTGACTTTTCTCTCCGCTCACCTCATCTAGTATGCAGCTGTACGACCTGTAAATTATTTAACCTCTTGTCTCAGCTTCATCACTTACTCACCCTGGAGAATTATGATAATATAGTGCCAGATCTGTAAGATTGTTGGGACACAGCAAATGAGGAGGGCATCTTAGCTATTATTACAATGATTATATTATCATCATTAGAGAATTGGCCTGAAAAATGGAGCTGGACCCCTGAAAATAGGAAAATCACCCCTCCTTTTAATATTTACCACTGTCCTACTATGAGTTTTGAGTGGCTGAATATATGTGAAAATAACGTTTGCTAAAAACAAGGCCATCGTCCCATAATCTACTTTATGAGGAACTATCCTAACAAGAAAGATTCTCCTGAGTTGAAATGAGATTAAGTTAACAGACTAAATTGATGTTAGTCTTTCCCAGGAATAGGAAGAGAGTAAGACAAGTATATTGAAATCTTTTGTGAAAACAGGACCATGTGCATGAGTGACTGTGAATGTTTGATTTTCTTCTCTTGCGGAGCGGAAGTTAAAATAGAGGGTGTGAATCTTGGTGACAGAGCGAACTTGGACTCACAAGTCTTGGTAATATATCAGAGATCAAGGAGGACTTAATCTCAGAAAACAATGAAATCAGTGTGACAAGAGCTAAGAAAAGTCAACCTTTGATTTTCATTCATTCATTCATTCATTCATTCACTGGGTGATTCATTATGAGCTGCATATTGTACTAGGTGCTGTGCGTACAAAGACCTGGTTCCACTCTAAGGCAGCTTATGGGATCCAGGCAGATGAACAGTAAGACATGAGCTAGAAGAGAACAGCAGAACCAAGTGTAAGGAGCTGGGAGCTGGGGAAGGGTGAGCAAATCAGCCACGAGAGGTGAATTGCTCCACTGTGTATCTGATTTTGAGACCTTACCTCTCAAAAAGGCCACACTTTTAAGAATTATTTTCAGGGTAACCATTATACCTCAATAAAGCTGTTTAAATAATAATGATTTTCATCTGACTTTCTGCCATGTTATTTTTCTTTTGTACTTTCAATTTTCTAAAAAAGAATAACAATAAAAGTCCTTAGAATACCCCAAAGAGATCTGTCCTCATTTCAGATCATTTTCTTGGCAGAGTCCAACTGGGTAGGTCTGGTGAATTTTAAGGCACCATGAAAATAATGACCACTTTTCTTTGAATCCAAGTTCTTATTTTTCATGAATTTACATTGGTGTAATCTCTTTCCTTTTTTATTTTTTCATCATCTCTTTTGAGACCAGGTTCTTAAGGTATCTCTAACTTATACTTTGGATTTTATGTTTTTTTCCTTCTTAATCTGTTCATTTAAATACAACAAATAAAAGAAAATCTCTTAAATGTGTGATTCTATAATAGCAACAGAACATCCTTGATCTTCTAGTGTCAGGCTCATTCATGTCGACCACAGTACAAGGCTCCTTTATAAACACTTGGGTGGGTCACGGTATAGGAGGTAGGAGGGGACATCAGATTCCCATACTGGATCTCATTTGGATAAATAGGAGTTTACAACGATAAGAAATAGATCAACATTCCTTTTATTCTTGTTCCTCGTCTTATATTCACTTCTAAGTTGAATTTTCAGATATCAGTACTTCCTGGTAGCTTATATCTCACATTGTCTAAAATGTGAAAAGCCACAAGAGGGGAAATTTGATTATCAGTAGAATGGCATATACTCATCTGCTCTGTCAAAGGACCGAAGGCGGAAGTACCTCAGACTGGGGCCCCTGCGTGAATGTGTCTCTACCATGAGCTCTCTCCATGTAGATGTGTCTATCCATCTACTACAATGAGATCAGGGGCCTTTGTATCTGTGGAGGAACCAAGCAAAGGTTTCTTCTGAACATTTGTGTGACCTGCGCCTGACCTTGGTATAGTCCTTAAGCTTAGCGTTCATCATTCTTGAAATAATTCAGCCATAGTATCATAGTTATTTAAAAAGCAGTTACAGCTCTATTTTTTGAAATGATCTTCCCAATATTTCTAAACAATAGTGAAAAATATAACCCTATTAGTTTCAGTCCCATATATTTTACTAAATCCCCCTTCCTTATTATTAATCTGCCCTGTTTCTATATTTATAGCGTGGGCCCAAATTATCTTTTAGCTTTGATTCTTTATGAATCACCCAGTAGTACTCCAAGAGTGAGCAGGAAATTATATTACTCTCTTTATATTTTCCATTGTGACACTTATAACAAATAAGTCCCTTAAAGACTCGACGGGTGAGTCTGAAAGCTGCCCTGCTCTTGCTAAGGGGACAGGATGGGAACGCTCCTTCTAGGACTTCCATGGCCTGGCTCCTTCCTGCCACCTGTCCTGTGGAACCACAGCCTCTCTACCTGCCCTGCTCGGTTACCATAGCGATTAGCCCAAAGCAGTACATCAGCTCTGAGGTCGGTACAGACTGAGCATAGAGTCTTTCACACTGGACGGCTGGGTTTAGAATAGTTTATTGCAACATGAGAATTTCTCAGAACGTAAGAATCTCAGAAGCAACAATGCATACTGGTCCGACTGAGCACAAACACTTTTGTTAGCACCCGGGGTTGCAAAGGCACAGCTGGCGACTTTTGTAAGTCAGGGGCATAAAAACGTTAGCCTGTGACCGCCTTACATATTCCCGAGCACTGGCCAGACCATGAGACTGAGGCTGAAACGCGTCCGAGAGTCTTAAAGTGAGACTGCCGAAAGGTCAAGTTAGTAATTTCCCTTTTTCATATTCAAAGCCAGTCTCGAAAGTGGAGGCGTTGATACCATCTCTAGGCCAGAGGCTTTCACAAGAACCCCTTTGAAATTACAGGCTGATCATGTAATTCAGGGGCGTTTTTCTATCTCACAAGGCTGCACTATGCCGTGGAGAAGGCACCTCAGCTGAATACCTAAGCGCCCACCCTGCCCCTGCACGCTGAGGCCCCGGACAATGACAGTCCCTTTGTGCTTCAGCTCCTTTACCCGTTAAAAAGGAGATTTGGAAGCGCAGTCTTTAAGATCTCAGGCAGCTCTGAAATTCTCTGACTCCGTGAGGGGAAATGATAAGATAATGAGGCTGGATTTCAATCGTGGTGCGTGGATAGCTTCACTCTGCGTTATGCGGCACGTCCTCGGCCAGCCCATGCCAGGCAGGTCATAGCTACTCTCACTGGGCTGGCCCCGACACCCCTTTCCACCTCTCACTGTTCCCTCCAGGGTCTTGTCACTTCCCCTCAGAAACACTGTCTTGGGCAATTTGCAAAGAAGAGAGTGAAAAACATCCCCCCTCTGCATGCTTCATTAAATCGCTCCCCCGGCACGCCATCACACACTTTCAAGCGTCCATAGCTTCTAGAAAGCGTGGGCTGAGTTAAATACAGGTCAGGACATAAAATACAATTGTACTCAATTTCCTATTTTACTCTCTAGCCTTTTCCACAGCAGTTAAAATTTATGTCAAACACAGAGACACTTTATTGAAATAAGTATCTGATCAAGACGAAAGAGGCAGTAGGTTGCTCGAGAAAATTATCTGCAGTAAAGACCAAGAAGGTACAAGAGGAACATGTAAAACGTAACCGCCATTCAGAAGGCACTCACGGGTCAAAGGCCGCCAGCAGGAAGTTTAGCAGGAGGCCGATGGACTGCTCCACGTGGATCTGGTGCGTGGTGGGCATCCGCTTGTTGAGCTGGTAAAAAATGGTGGAGAGCACAGCCTCCAGGCGAGCCACGTTGAGTTCCGTGTTCGGGTCCAGGTTGTTCAGCGCATTTTCCCGCAGAGCTTCTATGACGTTCCAGATGTCCACCAGGTGCACTGCGCACAGGTAAAGGAGAGTGAACGCATCAGGCCACGGTGCAAAGAAAGGCAAGCTCACTATTTCACAGGTCCCACCTGTCAAGGCGCTCACCGGCTGTGTGTTCGACGACTGTAGGGTTGCCATAAGCACAGTACACAGTACATCACTCCAAAGACTGGATGTACAGTGTATAATAGCATGTAAATGCTTTACTGAATACCACAGTAGATAGTTACTTCTAGTCTTCATAACAACCCTGAAAATATAGCTGTTTTCCCCACATTACAGGTGAGGAAACAGGATCAGGGAAGTTAACTGACAAAACACAAGTCCAAGTCCAGTCAATGGCAAAACTGGCTTCAAATCCAAGTCAGTCTGGCTTCTTTAAAAAACTGACATAAAGTTGGCATTTAACATCGTGGACCTAGAAGGTGTAGACTACGTGGATTAGATAAATTTATACATCGCAATCCCATTACCACAGTGTTAGCTAACTTCTCCATCACGTTCTATCATTTCCTTTTCACAGTGAGAACATTTAAGATCTAGTTTCTCAGCAACTTCAAAGTAGATACTATTTGTGATTATAGTTAACAAGTCCATTGGCTTAAAAGCATTTTCCCGTTGTACATGCTAACCCCTAAAAAAAAAAGAGAGAGAGAGAAAAACCCCCCACAACACTTAAATTGTATTATTTGGAAGGATGTCATAACTGCATTTGAGAATTTAAAATATTTTCATTTACATATTCTTAGTAGTATAAGGTTTGAAATAAGAAGAAAGTGGACAGGAAGACAGGGGTGGGGGGGTATGAGGTATCACTACAATGCAACAGCAGAACTAAGTCACAGATAACTTCGCTGGTGAGAGCACACAGCCAATTAACTTAAGTCATGGTTGCTTTCACTAGCGTGGTCAAGAAATCCATTTCTATTTCTGTTCGCCCTGAGGTCTTGTTATGACATCCCAGAAACCATCGCCACAATCAAGATAATACATCCATCATCCCCAAAAATCTCCGTGTGCTCCTTTGAAATCTGTCCAAAACCACAGATCTGCTTTCTGTCATAATTTTCTAGGATTCTATATAGCTGAAATCATCCCGTGTGTACTCTTGTTTTTTTTGGGGGTGTGTGTGTGTGTGTCTGGATACTTGTACTAGTGTAACCATTTTGAGAGTCATCCACGTTGTTGGATGTAGTAGTAGTTTGTTCCTTTTTGTTGCTGAATAGTATTCTATTAGATGGATATATCACAATTTGGTTGTCAACACACCTGCTGATGGACATTTGGGTTGTTCTGGTTTCTGGTGATAAAGAATAAAGTTGCTATGCACAATCATGTACAAATCTTGGTACAGACATAAGCGTCTAGTTCTCTTGCTAAGTACTTAGAAAGGAAGTGGCTATGTTGTATGGTAGGTGTATGTTTAATTTTGGAAAATCTCCCCAAGTGTTTTTCAAAGTAGTTGCACTATCTTACATTCCCATTAAGAGCGTATGAGAGTTCCAGTTTCACCACAATTCCACCAAGTTCTGGGTTCACTTTTCATTACACTTTTGCATTTGGAAATAAAGGTTGTCTTTCTCAATGAAGTGCAGTTCCAGTTCCTGAGAAATGTGCATTCCCAAGTTCTAGTCTCCTACAGCTTTGCTAATTTCTGACACTGTGTTGAAAGACACAAAACTGACACCTATTGAGCAACTCGACTTGGAGTCCAGAGCAGTGGACTTGGAGTCTGAAGACCTAGGTGCAAATCTGGCTCTTCTACAAGAGTTTACCCTCTTAGCTTAGAAGACTTACAGCCTCACTTCCTAAGCTATGAAGTGGGTATTGTGTTCCTTAAATGGGAAATGCATTAAGTCAAAAGCAGCAGTGCCTGGTACACAGACACAATACATTACACATGAACAAATGAATAAAGTAAGTTCATATAATTTTTTTTTTGCATATCTCTGGGTTTTGACACAGGAACACAAATCACTTTTCAAATGAATTACTTTAATGTTAAGTTTGGATAAATTCAGATTTATGGGTTTTTAGATTTACAAAATTCTCTGTATATCACATAAGGAAATTATTTGTATTTTTTGATGTTATTTGTCAAATTTTCCACTTTAACAAGCAAGGCGCTCCAAAAATAAAAGCATCTCTAAGTTGAATTTATTTATTTTTTGAGGAAAAACAGCTGTGATTTCTACCACTATTATTTGATCTCTAGAGCCTCTGGATCCAGTCCTTGGGGAGATCTGTGGGTGCAGGACACAAAAAGAGCAGCGATGAGGGGACCCGGCCTGTCATCCTGATTGGTATCTGTGCTCAGGCCACCAAGGGAAGTAGGTTACTATCTGCTTCCTGACTCTGGGTCGTGTGAAACAGGCACTGGAGAAGAGGCACACGAACGGTGAACTTGAGCATAGGAGGGAGATGGCTACAACCAAGAAGGAGAAATGGCTGCTGGGAGAGGGAGGGCATCTGGATGCTTAGATTTCTCCTAGAGTCTTTGTAGGGCACAGAGAGGCTCCCAGAATTCCCAGGAGTGGAATCATACAAGTTCATGGAAGCAGCCAGCATGTCCATAGACGGTGGGAAGGTCCCTCAGGAACTTCAGCCTCTGTGTGCCCAGCCTACACCAATCTCCTCTCTGCCAAACCCATTTTCTCTGGGATTCCCTCCCTTGATGAATGGACTCAGCCCCTACATTCTTCCCCCACCCCAGCTAGAATCTGGATTTCATCCCTGGATCCTCATATCTCATACGCAATCAATGGCCGAGTCCTACTGGACTCTATCTACAAAGTATCACTTTAATTCCTCCATTTCCATGGACTCTTATTCCCATCACTCAATTTCACCACCCAATGTTATCACCATTATCTCATTGACTAGGTCCATTCTTTCATCTTCATTCTTTCTTCATGCCAATTGATTCTAAACACTGTAGCCAGGGTGGTATTTCTGAACTGCATATCTGACTTGTCACTCATATGCTGTGTAAACTCCTTTAATAACTTCCCATTAAGTTGAAACTCTTTTTTTTAAAATTAAATCTTTATTGTTCAGATTATTACATTTGTTCCTCTTCTTTCCCCCCATAACTCCCCTCCTCTCAGTTCCCGCCCCACCCTCCGCCCTCACTCCCCACCCACTGTCCTCATCCATAGGTGCACGATTATTGTCCAATCTCTTCCCGCATCTCCCACTCCCCTTTCCCCCCCAAGAATAGTCAGTCCATTCCCTTTCTATGTCCCTGATTCATTATAATCACCAGTTCATTCTGTACATCAGATTATTTATTCACTTGATTCTTAGATTCACTTGTTGATAGATGCATGTTTGTTGTTCACAATTTGTATCTTTACCTTTTTCTTCTTCCTCCTCTTAAAGGATACCTTTCAGCATTTCATATAATACTGGTTTAGTGGTGATGAACTCCTTTAGCTTTTCCTTATCTGTGAAGCTCTTTATCTGACCTTCAATTCTGAATGATAGCTTTGCTGGATAAAGTAATCTTGGTTGTAGGTTCTTGCTATTCATCACTTTGAATATTTCTTGCCACTCCCTTCTGGCCTGCAAAGTTTCTGTTGAGAAATCAGCTGACAGTCGTATGGGTATTCCCTTGTAGGTAATTGAGTCTCTTTCTCTTGCTGCTTTTAAGATTCTCTCTTTGTCTTTTGCTCTTGGCATTTTAATTATGATGTGTCTTGGTGTGGTCCTCTTTGGATTCCTTTTGTTTGGGGTTCTCTGCGCTTCCTGGACTTGTAAGTCTATTTCTTTCACCAGGTAGGGGAAGTTTTCTGTCATTATTTCTTCAAATAGGTTTTCAATATCTTGCTCTCTCTCATCTTCTGGCACCCCTATAATTCGGATGTTGGTACGCTTGAAGCTGTCCCAGAGGCTCCTTACACTATCTTCGTATTTTCGGATTCTTTTTTCATTTTGCTTTTCCGGTTGGGTGTTTTTTGCTTCTTCGCATTTCAAATCTTTGACTTGATTCTTGCGCTCCTCTGGTCTGCTATTGGGTGTAATATTCTTTATTTCAGAGCGTGTATGCTTAATTTCTAGTTTCTTTATCATAGCATCGAGGGTCTCATTAGTTTTCGTGAAGCTCTCCAAAAGTTTATTGCAAGCCCTCAAAATTGCGTTTTTTAGCTCTATATCCTCCATTTCTGTCATGTTTTTTTGTCTCCGCATTTTTTATGCTTTCTTGGTGCACCCCCTAGTGGTCTTTGTGCGCAGTCTTGTTCTAGTTGAGCCTTGATTGTTGTAGTTAATACTAGAGGGATTTGACCACCAGGCCGACTGGCTGTGTGAATCAGCTGTGTCTGCCGCGGAAAACTTCTGTCCTCTGGGGAGGTGCTAATCTAGCCTTTGCCTGAGGCGATCTGGCAAATGGCTCTGCGCAGGGCTTGGGCGGGGCGGGCTCAACAGGGCGGGCGGAGGGAGCGGTTATAGCCCCTCTCAGTCCCGTTCCCAGAGGCTCTGCTTCTCAGAACCCCAGGAACCGCTGCAAACCTCGGAGCGAAAGCTACCTTCCAACTGATGCCAGACAATCCCGCTTCTCCCGTTTGAGTCCGAGTCCCCAGCGATTCGCCCAGATCTGGGGCTCAGAGTCTGAGACTCCCTCCTGATTGAAAACAACAACCGCGCCCTCAGCCACCAGCCCGCTTTGCGCGCGCACCTCCGCACCTGAGTATTTTCCACACTGCGCCTCCTCTGAGCCTCGGTGTGCTGTTATTTTTCCTTCTAGTTGAAGAGTCTCTCCTCAGCCAGCCTTCCTGTGGTTCTGGGTGATGTCCGTTCCGTCTTTTAGTTGTATTTTTGAAGTGGTTGTTTGCGGCAGCAGTCTGCGGTGTTTACCTATCGACATTTGGATTTTTAAAAGTGACCCAGGTGATTCCCATGTAATGATAGGTTTGGGGATGAATACTAACCACATGCAACAAAGAAATGGATTTGGTCTTTGCTCATAGTACTATCACACATAAAACATGATTTCTTTATTTCATCTTGAGTA